AATCGCACAGTCAGGTTAGGTGCCTATGTTATTTTCCGGAAAAAAAAATCATTGCAATATAAACGATGTAAAAAATAAGGTTAATAGGTCATTGTCGACTAAAATAAAAGTTCTCGATTTACATTGGTTGCAATAATTTTAACGTCACATAAAAAAATGGAAATTTAAACAATGTAAGCGGAATCTGTCTTATTTCACATCTCACGATAGGCTACACCTACTTTAATCGCCTCACTTTACTGTTATCTTTGTTACTAATACCAAACCTAGTGCAATCATTAAAAGTTTTTAAATATTTAAAACATGTTTAATATTTATGCTGCATTTAAAATATCCGATTTACATAGAAAATTTGATTCAATATTAAATGACTCCCCGGTACTTTCACTTAATCATTTCCAATTAATAACATCTCCTACCTGACCTACTTAAAATTTAATTAGTTTGAAATGGCTGTTTACACATTTACTTCAATCCATATATGGAGTTTATCTAATATACCTACTTTTTACATCATTATTTATTAATATAAAATTTAATTTTAAATCATGTTATACTTAAGATTGGTATGATTGCTTATTTTAAGAAGCAATCAATTATTTAGATATAGAGCAAAAACTAAAAATATATAATTAATTATTAATAATTACATGCTTTTTTTTTTAGCTATTGGAGATACACCTTCTCAGCAACACAATAAAGGTAAAAAACAAAATATATAAACGAAATTAGATTTTAGGAATAGTGTACATCAGTGTCCGACGCGTATCTGCCTATTTTTACGTCATATGCTGTGATTGGAAAAAATATTTATTTATTTAAAGCATTTATTGTAAATCTATCACACTTGATTTGATTACAAATTTAAATTTAACAGGTGCAATTGTAAGCTGATCAATTTTTGAACGACTAGCAAAAGATAGACCAGTGTTTATAATCATAATTAGTTGTCATATTGTCAAACATGTACTACGTAGTAAGAATTTTCTTCTTCTTCTTATAATATAAAACGAAGAATATTTCGCTTTTGTTTTCCGATAGGTATAGTGTCCTGGCCAATCGGAAAATTAAATTTTTTTCCGTCAAATATAACCTTGGACGTTATCTTACATCGTTATCGTTATTATCGGTCGTATTTATTATAGTTGTTATTGTAATTATACCGTTTTTTTCGGGTTTTCATCCGAATTCCGCTCTTTAGAGACCTTTTTCCGTCGTGTTTTCGATCCTGTTGCGTAGAGCGCGTCTTTTTCGTCAGGAGGTATATCAATCCGCCGTAGGTGGATTGCCCTGTCAGGTATCGATATTTACTGGGCGATGACTGATAGCTAGACACTTAATCACCGTTTCGAAGTGTATTTATTTATTTTTCATACGCAAAAGCACCGGGCAAGCCACAGGAAATGCATCCAATTCGCCGCAGGCCGATTGCCCAGTCAAGTATCGACATTCACCGTTCCAGGTGATGACTGATACCTAGACATTCAATTGCTATTTTCGTAACAAGCTTCGGGACAAGGTGTATTACACCTGTGAATTTAATGAAATGACCGACCACTAGACGCTCGAATTGGACTTTTATTATTTACGCGTTTAAAACGACACCGCCAAAGTGTAGAGCCACCAAATCAGAGGTACCACCATCACAAACCTCGTTATCACTGGTTTTGACTACTAGACTTTTCTAACTGCGGTATTCTAAAGTCCTATCTCCGACCTAGGAAATTCACTTTAAACAATTTTCAGCTACCTAGGGTATTCACATACAGCGAGTTTCACCGGTGCTAGTATATTGATAAAATAAAATTATAATAATAATGAAATATAAATATGTGTTTTTGTAAAATGTAAGACAGTACTGCTCCAATGTAAAACGGTTGGCAACTCTTGCTGTGTACAAAAAATTGATAATCACAACTTGGTCCAACATTTATAAACTTAATATTATCACCTTTAACAACATACCATGAAAACAAATTGTGTCATTATAAATTTACACATAAATGCAAAAATAAGATTAATATAATATAAAAATATAATTGATTGTATTAATATAATAATTAAGTTAAACAAATAATAAATTAAATAATACATATTATTTTAGGTCAAGCAAGAACTTACAACAGTTATCATGAAAAACTATTTACTAAAGCTTATAATGGTATGTATTTTGTGAAAACTAATTTATATTTATATTTTTTTCAATGATTGTTATATAATTTAACATATATCAGACCTTTTTCCGTCGCGATTTCGATCCTGTTGCGTAGAGCGCGTCTTTTTCGTACCGTCTGTGTGCGTTTTCCCGTGGATTCGGTTCTCGGCCGCAGCCGTATCTGTCACGGGGGCGGTCGCCCGTTTTTCTCTCCGAGCGAATCGTTTTCGCGTCCGCAGGTTTTCTGATTACGTGGAACGCGTCTTTCGCGAACCGCGTGTCCCCGAACTCCGTTCGCGGCCGTCGCCGTCACGTCCGGAAAACGCGTACTCGCGGCGTGTTCTCCGGGCGGATATCGTAGCGTCATGTATACTCTTGTTTGTTTTTTTACGATTCCATAAATTATTTATCTTTATATCGAATACGTGTTGTTATGTTTTTGGTGTCTCCATCCTCGGACGCCTCCGCGACCTCATCAGTACTCTCTCGATAACGTACGAAATACGATTATGTGTATAAAAAAGAAACACACGTCGGGTTTAACAGATTCTTATGTGTATTACAAAAACAGATAACAAGAGTCTTGCTCTCGAGTCGTTTTAATACTTTTAATGGCATACATTTGGGGCGATATCGTGATATGTGTATGTGATAATAAACTTGGTACTTCATTAAAACGTATACGTTTAAATAATGTAGACGAATACATCAGAAACAGTCTAAACGATAATAAATATGCGATTTAAGGTTTCATGACACACAAATCGTAAAAATTGTATTGGTTAAACGACGTGTAATGTAGTATTCCTTGCATCTCTATAACGGTTTAAGTGCTCGAGATTCGGTTACGGTTTACAATTCAAACGGTAGTCGATAGATGTTAGGATAGGTTTCCCCAAAGTTAGGTAGGCAGGTCCAAATCCCGTTCCGGCGAAATCGGGGCAGCACGATTTCTAATCACGTATTCGGTTTTTTTTTTTTTTTTTTGATTTTTAAATATTTTGTTAATTAATTGTTATTTTTGTTATCACGGAAAGTGCATAATATTTCTTTTCGATATCTAACCACCTATAAAATATCAAAAAAAAATATTAAATATAATATACAGTTTTTTGATCTTCAACTCGCTAACGTTTGACAAGTAATTTCCATAATACTTTTAAAATCTTCCCTTTATGCCCACATCGCCTACTTGGGAGGTTTAAACTCATTTAACTGGATTTTTAATGGTGATAACTTGAAAATTGAGCACTCTTTTCGACTTAGACTTTTTTACGTACTGAACATCATAACGCCTTCGACGTCAGGAGGTATAACTATCCGCCGTAGGTAGATTGCTCTGTCAGGTATCGATATTCACTGGGCGATGACTGATAGCTGACACTTAATCACCGTTTTGGAGTATATTTATTTATTTTTCATACTCAAAAGCACTGGGCAAGCCACGGGAAATGCATTTAATCCGCCGCAGGGTGATTGCCCAGTCAGGTATCGACATTCACCGTTCCAGGTGATGACTGATACCTAGACATTCAATTGCTATTTTCGTAACAAGCTACGGGACAAGGTGTATTACACCTGTGAATTTAATGAAATGACCGACTACTAGACGCTCGAATTGGACTTTTATTTTTTACGCGTTTAAAAAGACACTGCCAAAGTGTAGAGCCACCAAATCAGAGGTACCAACATCACAAACCTCGTTATAACTGGTTTTGTCTACTAAACTTTTCTAACTGCGGTATTCTAAAGTCCTATCGCCGACCTAGGAAATTCACTTTAAATGATTTTCAGCTACCTAGGGTATTCACATACAGTGATTTTTACCGACCTAGGGTATTCACTTACAGTGAGTTTCACCGTTGCTAGTATAATTATAAAAGCAATACCGTAATACTTAATTTATTATTGTTTGTTATAAACACGATTCGTGTAGATGTATTTTGTTTTCTATTAAGATTAGGAAGAGAAATTAATTACAATTTAAAAATACTCATATATCACAGAAAAACTAAGTTTTTTCAAAATCTAACAAGTTAACATAGATAATGTTTTTAGTTTTTAAGTTTTTTCATAGGTTATTTAACTTTAATATTTAACGATACAAAATCGGTGCTGTTGAACGGAAATTTGCGATGTTCCGGTTGGGTCTGCGAGAATTATTAGTAAAAAGTAGTGATGGATTGAACCCTGATTTTTTAACTCGAACCAAACTTGAACTGAAATTTAAATTATTTAAATCTTTTATTTTAAAAGTATGTAAACAAATAATTATAAAGTTACAAACTAGACAAGTTGTTAGAACGATACACATCCAATTCTTATGATTTTGATAACGATTATATACGCGGAAAAAAGTTATAAATAGAGGCATTGCGGTACTGGAATATTATCATGGGTGTACCCAAAATAAATTTTTTCCGCTACGACATAAACAAAAACAGTAACATTATAAGTGTAGGAACGCGGCATGTATTGGCGATAGAAAGCATATTAATGTTTTTGCTGGTATAGGGTGAATCTGTAATGGGCCAGTGGAAAAATTTAAAATAACATATTATTTTAATGAATTATAATATATAACGTGTAAAAATAACTTTTAAAGAATTATGCAAATATTTGGTAATTGAATGAGTTTAAAATATCATGGCCAGAAAGTCTGATTCGACAAATATCTTCAAGTTCGATATTCGAACAGAAAAAGATTCTTGATAGTTTAGTTCGAATTTTGAACTTAACCAAACATTAGGGGTTGGGTTCGGTTTGGTTCGAGATTCGAACAGTTCGACCCATCACTAGTACAAAGTATGTGACATTAACGAAAAAAATGTATATGATTGTTATAAAAATAATCTGATTAATAAATAACAACGAATATATTAATTTTCTAAGGTTGTATTATCTTCTACTTTTTCTTCTTCTTCTGGTTTGATCTTCTTTACAAGAAATTTTGACGCTATTACAACTTCACGCCACTTCTCCCGGTTACGAATTATATTTCTCCGGTCATCAACTCCTATCATTTTTAAATTGTTTTCGACCACATCCATCCATCTTAAAGTTGCATTATAAACATATTTATATAGGATTAAAATACTTTTATTATTTTCCATTCGAGGTGCAACAAAACATACATAATGATGGTGAAGAATCCACAATAAAATGTTTAGAAAAACAGGCTAAAATAATGATAAAAACATCAAACAGGAAACCAAATCGTATTAATGTAAGAATTACTGTTCAAATTTTAATCCCTGATGTTGATAAGGCTAGAGGATCACCTTGTATTTTATTAGCATTATCGCCGATGTTCAAGATGGCTTGTACAAATGATATATAAATGGTTACATTAAAAATTGAAAGACTATAAAAAAATAATATATTTTTTATTTATACAACTATAAGTACAGAAAATTATTTTTTAAAGCAAAAATAACAGAAAAGCACCATAAGACGAAAACTTTATTGACTTAACGGAAACAGTACTATTTAAAAAAATAAAATAAAATTATTCTCCGAGAGGTTGCCAGCATAATAGTATGGCTATGAGTTAGGGATATTCAAAGGTGTCGTTGTAAAACAAAACTAAAATAATAAATGCGCATGACGAGCAGCTAAAAAATATGTAATTCGAAGTACCATAGTAGTTTATCTTGTGAATATTATATATTTGCATGATAATAATACATGATTTTTTCGATCCAAGTTATATTTTAGTAAATAAAAGGGATATACCCAAATTATCTATCAATTATAGGCATTTTATTTATTACTTTAGTCATTGTCAGCATTGACTGGATAAATTAAAAAAATCGTTATACTTTTAAACATCAATCAACTATAAAAGTTATGCTTTTGTAGTTTTCTTCACTACGGTAGACATTCAACGTTATTCACCAACTTTGGATTATATGCTTTGGTTAAACGTTACAAAAACTGTTCAAAAATTGATCAGAATCAGACATTTAATCGTTCTATACGATTCTAAAATAAATCAAATGCCCACATTAAATGCACTTATGTTACAATACATATAAATACAAACATGTAGTTTTTAACAAAACATTTATTGCCATATTTTATATTTGTATTTTGTTATAGACAATACCAATAATTCGAGCTCTCCAGGAGGTAAATTATATTTTGTAAAACATTTTTTATAGCTTACGTATCCTTAAATTTGTAAGTTTTACGTATTCTGTATAAAGTCACATTATAATAGATACAGTAAAAATCGCAATTAATACTCGATAGGTATGCAATATTTATTTTCCCGGAAAGCCGATGTGTATAAAGATTTTATACATAAAAATCCACGAATTTGAATGACGACCTTACTATTCTGAGAGTGTATGATTTTGACAACCGCCGTTACAATACACATCCAGAAATGAGATGCGTCGCCGTCTGTTGCGATCATTATCTGTCTATTATTTCCACTCATACAGAACTTTCATCTACAATAGTTATTTAATAAACATCTCATATATTTATTATACATTCACAAATGTAAATATGATTGTACTTTTGTAAAACTTAATTCATAAATATAACGTGTTCCATCATTCATAATCTTGTTACATTCCCCGTCAATAACTACTGCAAAAATTGTTCAAAAATTGATCAGAATCAGACATTTAATCGTTCTATACGATTCTAAAACAAATCGAATGCCCACATTAAATGCACTTATGTTACAATACATCAAAATACAAACATATAGTTTTTAACAAAACATTTATTGACAATATTGACATATTTTATAATTGTATTTAGTTATAGACAATGCCAAGAATTCGAAGACTCTAAGAGGTAAATTATATTTTTGTAAAACATTTTTTATTGCTTACGTATCCTTAAATTTGTGAGTTTTACGTATTCTGTATAAAGTCACATTATAATAATTACAGTAAAAATCGCAATTAATACTTGATAGGTATGCAATATTTATTTTCCCAGAAAGCCGATTAAAGATTATATATTCACAAATGTAAATATGATTGTAGTCGTGTAAAACTTAATTTATAATTATTAATTACGTGTTCCATCGTTCATAATCTTGTTACTTTCTTCGTCAACAACTGCCTAACATGAAAAGAGTTTGTATATTTATATATATTGAAACATATGCACATAAATGCAAATATCATAATATAAAATTATAATTTATCGTATTGAAATAAATAATCCTTAAGAATGAATAATTATTGTTTAAATAGTATATTAAGCTAATTACTCTAATATATAGTAGGTATACATATATATATTTTTTTTAGAGGATGCATGGAACTACTACCTACATAATATTAATATTATTGAAGCTAACTCGTCTAGTACGTATTATATTGTACACTAATTATTATTAATATTTTTTTAATAGTAATTAGTTAAATTATAAAATAGCAATAGTGTGGGTGTGCTGTGTTGATTCATAATCTTAATCGGTTCATACAGTGTAATATATCGAAAATAGGCTCACAACGGATAGCTCCAGATGTTCAATAAATAAATAACTTGTCAAAAATGACACTTAACTATTTATTAAATTAGTGAACGGTAAAAAACTTTTATTTTATCTTACTTGATTGTATTTTAATCATATATGAAGTAAATGGCAATGTTACTTATCGTATGCCAGTAAAAAAAATATAATTAATAATAATCCACAAACCTGTGGTACAATTTTTGGAGTTGACAAATTGTGCCAACAAGCAATCTGAATCGTGTGATGAATGTGAATTTAGGAGAAGGTAAAATAAATATAACACTATTCGTTTTGTGATATTCCGAGTTCGTAATATTTTCGTACGAAAGAAATAAATTTCGAAAAAAACCGTGTATAAACAAAGTACAAAATAAAATATAGTGTGATGCGACGCTGTGCGTACACAAGAAAGAAGCACAGAATATCACGCGGTATGTCGTGTAAAGACCGACAGTATTGTGCGGTTAGCGATGGTGCGTAACATGAGCGGTTTGGTTATTTGGAGATATTTGAGCTGGCGCATAAAAACTCAAGTGGACGAGACCGTTTCGTCCCGTGACGTCATTTATACCGTTGGCGTGTCTTGCTGTTGAGGAGAGGTGCGCGGTGTATACAAAATACATCACGGTAGCAAACATAATTGTTACAATAAACATGACAAATATTTACAATAAGTACAATAATTACAAATAATACAATATTGAAAATATAGTTGTGATAATGCGGTTATAGCACCACATTATTAAACACCTAAACGAAAAATAAAATCGCGCGTCGTTAGGTCGCGATGAACGCTGGCTCCAGAGCTATTGAATTGGCTCCCTAACTCAGGTAATCATCATTTTTACGTATTTAATTGGCTCCTAAGGTTTATGTATAGAGTTGGCTCCCTACACATATATTTTATAAATCCATTGGTTATCAAAATTGTTTGAAAATAAATTCAACTATATGTACGTCTATACGTTAAAAATATAAAAGTTGAAAAAGTACACGTCTGTAATATTTTAGTGACACAGTGCCGGTTATAGTCTTGTAATTAACAATTCATTAATCCGATAACGGTCACAACTATCGACGTATTTATACAACCTATATAGGTATAGTACAATATTTCACTGATATCATTAAATGCAGTAATTGCAGTACTCGTAGTTCGTTCCCGTCGCAATTCGTTGCAATTTTTTGTAATTCGTACCTATACATAGATTATAAAATTAATTTGGTTGAAATAATGACAAGTGAAAAGGGAGAATTCATTTTAATAGTTAATAAGTTTAAATTCAGCTACCATAAGCTTCTCCAAAATGGATTTAAGCGATTCAAATGTACTAAACGAGGATGCAAAGCTTATTTGAGAATTAGTAACCAAGAAAATGTTGTATGGGAATCGTCCAATCTTAACCACAACTTTTATATTTTGAGAACCACTTTTTAAAAATTATATTGGGAGCCAAATCAAGTCTTGACTAGGTACTTAACCTAATATTGGGAGCCAATTCAATGGTCATCGCTGGCTCGAGTCGGTCTATGGACATCCAGATTGTCTTGACGGCGTCGATTCTTATGAAGACGTGACTAACCCGATTTAGGCAGGTACTAGGTAGGCACGAACGTGGTACGTGTCGGTTGTCGTGATTTGTCCTGGGTGTATATCGCAGCTGACACATTTTTGGTTATAACTTTTAAACCATCTAAACAATATGCTTCCAAATTCCTCTGTTCCCATCTGCTCAATATTTCTGATCTAAATCGATTTTTTTCGATTTTTAACCTTTTGCCCTATAGTAGCTGGCCGATTGATTAACAAAAATGAGTACGGTATTTCAATAGAATAACTCAGTTTCCTATTATTATACGTTAGTGTCTACTACACTATTTTTATTTTTACTTAGCTTCGCGTCACTACCGTCGCGCTGGATAATATAAAACAAAAATAATTTGCCTGGAACCGTGCCTACAGCGAATAAGCAAACCTAAGACCCCCTTATCTATCATCAGCTAAATTTTTTTCATTTAGTAAACCAACTAGGTATTCTTTTGTACCATATTGAGGAGGAGTTTGCGTGTATGCAATTGATTGGTCGCTATTCCAACGAGATGTGGATATCACACGTCATATCAAAAATGTGACATTATACAGATGTCCCTACACGAATTGTACACAATCTCCTTATGCATTGACTTAAAGTCTTGAAGTAAAATAATTGTGTTTTTAATACAAAATTTATAATTGCCAATACCACTAGAAAAAAACGATCTGATAAGACTGCTTTAGTTTCTAAATGTGCCTAGGAATTGACTAATATTTCTGAAATAGATTCTCTGCTAGATTTTAATTGAATGATAAACCTCAACAAATGATTAGTTTTTTATATTACTATATATTAAATCTAAAATTACTTTTATTCTAGTGTATGAATTTATTATTGGTGCACGATAATCAAAATTGTTTAAAAGGATAGTTTTTTATTTTGAACAAGAAGATTTAAAATGAAAACAATGTTATTGATTTAAGAGAGTCCTAAAATTATTAAACATTTACAAAAAATAATATTTTTTAAATAATTTATGTATAAATCATAATTTATTGTAATTGAAAAACTATATTTTGGAGATTTAATTTATCTCAAATTTAATCCTATACGATATTAGCCCTTAATCTATAATAAAAACACGATTTGATTGAATGAGATTGGTTCTCATAATGACAATTTTTTATATTTTATCATAAGTTGTGAGTAGTTTTTTGTTCATTTATTTAGTATTTTTTCATTTTATGTAACATTATTTATTAATACAAAGGACCAATTTTAAACGAATTTATACCTACATAAACTTAAATATTTATACGTTTTAAATTTACCTATTTAACATTCTAGAAATCATAAAAGACAAATTAATTTATAATAAAGGTATTTATTTTTGTTTTTAGAATATGTTTCATTCGGTCCTCAAACATGGTGTGAAAAACACATCCCCATATTAATAAATCGAGTAAAATTGAATAATTAAACTATCGACAATATTAAAAAGAAGTGGATATATCAAGCCGATTAATGAAAATATCAAAACTATTGAAAAATAACCTCAAGATAATAAAAAATATTTTGTTTAATTTATTTAATGAACATAGTTATTTCATTATTAGTTAATTATCTTATAAGTTGAAATAATTAATATTCAAACTCAACGAAACCCAATTAAATTGTATTTTTAGTATTTACTCTTAGGTTCCAAGAGCTGGTCAATTATAAATTATTTATCTAATATTTGTGTTTTTTTTTTTTTTTTTATTGGCAGAGGGAGTATGTAAAATATTAGTTGTTATAATAACGGCTATTAAAAATTAAAAACTTTAATTCATTTGAAATTTGACATCAATCAAAATAAAACAGTGGTTCTACGGTCAAGTATGTTTTTAGTGTTCATCGTAATAGAGTTTATAACTTTAATGGATGTATTAAATTTTGAGTTGAGTGCTCTTTCAAAACTGCACTTCCTACTGGTAAAAAACATCCTGCTTCGGATCAAAAGTTTACTTAGGTTTGCTAGTTAAGATCCCTGTTTGAACACTTCTTTAAATTTCTAAGTTTGAAAAATTGGCTCCTAGGTATTACCTCTTCAACAAATGTCAGGTTTACGAGTATGATAGACATAGCTATGATTCGCTACACGCTTACACAGTGCGCACACAATCTTATCTTTGATTAAAATGTTCTACTTAATAACACCATATTGTACTAAAATAAGAAGAAAATAGGCTAGAAATTAATTCAGAGCCCAAACCATTTTTTTTTTTTTTAAATTAACAGTATATGAAATCCCCTCACAAGACTTATTCTCCCGGACAAAGTCTCAAAAAGATCTAGGATCGGCTTTTAGCTTACACTCAGTTCGAGTCAAGAGCGATTATTAGCAACTTTTAAATTCAAATTTATAACGAGTCCAGAGATTAAAACACTTGTTTAATTTCTGAAACAACCGAACACTAAATTTGGCCTGATCTCTCATCTTAGATCATATTATCTCAGGATGGCATTTGAAATAGAAATTAAAATATTTATG